ATCTGACACAGTGACATAGACAATTGCCTCACTCATTCTGTGTGGCGGGAGAGAGTTTGTGCAGGGACAACGGCATCTCAGTGACGAAGATGGAAGGCAGACCGCCAGCACCATGGCAGCCATTCCACGGACCGGGATGGTGTGGCCTAAGAGGTTTAATGTGTTCTCTGGTCTTCTGTGCAATAATAATTGTGTTTCCTGTAATATTGATGCATGACAAACCTTGGCAACCAAAGAATGTACCAAATGCAACCAATATTAGTGATCTAGAACCCAGACAACCAGTACCAAACCCAGCAACCATCAAATTGAAGAAACGATCTGTAAATTCATTTAGCCGACCAGCAAATAACATGTGGTATTAATATGCTAAATTCACTGCCCGACAACACACCAACTACTCATGTGTGACATGCTTAAGAACACGACCACAGTCCATGCTTGTACCGATAGTGCACGACTCAGAGGAGTGTGCCAGAGATCGAAAACATAATCTACGTTACACATGCGCATTCCGCTGTTTAATCTATTTTTCAAATTCAGTCTTCGCTAAATTGTTCAAAGATGGATCTTCCTGTAAACATGTCTTGCACCATAAAGAGTTTGGCAGACCAACATCAGACACCATCCCTCCGACAGACTTCCAAATTCCAAAGAATCTTACTTTCACTGACTGCTTTGAAAGGGCCGGGCATAAACGTAGGCAGATTGAATCTTACTTGTAAATATACATGGAACACAACAACACCAAAAGACCAACATAATGACGATGCGCTACTATCAGGAATGAATGAGCGGGGGACATTATATACCACACTCACCATGACACGTTTTTTATTCCTGTCCCAATAGCAATCCGCCCACCTACTGCACCCCTACACTCTCCTGATATGCCAACTATAGATGCATGGTGGTATTGCGGCAGCACTCTGCACCCAACACTCCCACCAGGATGGAGAGGCCTATGTGCCATGGTTAGACTAATCCAACCGACCTTAATTGTGCCAATTGATGATCTTAAACATAGTGTCTTTCAGCAGGGGGAGATAAAGCGAGACAGGAGGTCATTCACGGAGGACCCCAGAGTATGGATAGACGCCATAGGTGTCCCCAGGGGCGTGCCTGCTGAATTCAAAGCCCGAGATGAGATAGCAGCTGGTTTTGAATCAATTTTCTACCTGGTAGCTATCAACAAAAATGTAGCTTGGATAAATTATGTATATTTCAATCAACAGCGATTTGTTAACCATACTAGAGATGCTCTGCAGGCCATGGGTGAGCAGCTCTATTCCACGACCCAGGTAGCATGGCAGAACAGGATGGTCCTAGACATGTTGTTAGCGGAAAAAGGGGGGGTTTGTGTTATGTTCGGGGACTCTTGTTGTACTTACATTCTGAACAATACAGCTCCAGATGGCTCATTCACCAAAGCCCTCTCTAAACTCAAAACAATGGCTGCAGAACTCAAGGACAATGCTGGTGTGGATGCATGGACAGGGAAATGGTTTGAAAATTTACTGGGCCGCTGGGGTGCAATTCTGGCTAGAATTGGTGTTATCATAGTGGTTTGTGGAACTATTATTGTCCTATTCGGGTGTTGCATCATTCCATGTACTAGAAGATTGATTGAAAAATCCATAACAAAGAGTGTTTCCCAGTATGTGAATCTTCCCCAGGCCAATCATGTCGCATCTGACTCGTTTCCCATGGCCAACTGTTTTCCTTCCTTAGAGGAGGAGGATTGCGAAAGTGACAGTTCTGTGTAATACTTGTTTATTATAGCTTGCTATTTTAGAAATATAATCTCATAGATACGCTAATGCTTTCATTTATTTTTTGCCTTTAAAAGAAAAATTATTAAATGTTGATTGATTATTGTTTGGTATGAAGCTTACTGACCTGTTGTCTTTTTATACAGTTCAATAGAGATGGAGGTCCGATTTATGTGTTTCACCTCATCTCAAGGAGATTTGTTTGGCCATGTTTATGTCAACATTCCCTAGCTTGCTACAACATAGAGTTGCTTGGAACTCACAAAAACAGCTAAATGCTTTAACCTTATTGATTAATGATGTGCAAATGTAAACCATTCTGGGTAATATGTGTTGATGTTTCGATAAATTGTAAATACTTTAATGGCCATAGTAATGACCAAAGGGGAAATTGTTGGAGAAATTTATCATACCGTTCTTCTATTGTCTTGTATCGCTAAACCTGCATATAATCTCAACCCTCTTCCCACGGATCTGCTGGGAACCAGGCCCTGTTGTTCTTCTTGATCCCACGGATCTGCTGGGAACCGGGCCCTGTTGTTCTTCTCCGGACAACATCTACGAGGGTTACAGGGGGGGCGGGGGGGTTGAAGGGAGAGGAGACGAGATAATGTGCATATACACTCTGTTTTGTTTTTCTTTAGGGTTAGACCTCCGAACCATTCGTGGGGAAAGAGCTCTATCCATTCAGCTGAATTATGATTGAAGTGTCTGTTCATTATATATGTTTTAATACTTTAAGAAGTTCCATCGTGATTATTTCTCACAGAGAGGTTAAAAAGATTTTTTTTTCCACAACACTGCACTCCTCCAGTCTGAAGACACAAACACACACTTCACTTTACTTTACCTTACTTCATATGATCCTGCACTCCTCCAGTCTGAAGACACAAACACACACTTCACTTTACTTTACATTATTTTACTTTACTTCACATGATCCTGCACTCCTTCATTCTGAAGACACAAACACACACTTTACTTTACTTTACTTTACTTCATATGATACTGCACTCCTCCAGTCTGACACAAACACACACTTTACTTTCTTTTACTTTACTTTACATGATCCTGCACTCCTCCAGTCTGAAGACACAAACACACACTTTACTTTACTTTACTTCATATGATCCTGCACTCCTCCAGTCTGATGACACAAACACACACTTCACTTTACTTTACTTTACTTCAGATGATCCTGCACTCCAGTCTGAGGACACAAACACACTTTACTTCACTTTATTTGACTTTACTTCATATGATCCTGCCCTCCTCCAGCCTGAAGACACAAACACACACTTCACTTTACTTTACTTCATATGATCCTGCACTCCTTCAGCCTGAAGACACAAACACACACTTTACTTTATTTTACTTTACTTCATATGATCCTGCACTCCTCCAGTCTGAAGACACAAACACACACTTCACTTTACTTCACTTTACTTTATTTTACTTCACATGATCCTGCACTCCTCCAGTCTGAAGACACAAACACACACTTCACTTTCTTTTACTTTACTTTACACAATCCTGCACTCCTCCAGTCTGAAGACACAAACACACACTTCACTTTACTTCACTTTACTTCACTTTACTTTATTTTACTTTTCATGACCCTGCACTCCTCCAGTCTGAAGACACAAAGACACACTTCACTTTACTTTATTTGACTTTACTTCACATGATCCTGCACTCCTCCAGTCTGAAGACACAAAC